TGAATTATGGTTTTGACCCTAACTGTAGGAAGGTTTGGCCAAATGAGTTTGAGATGACCCTAACTGTAGGAAGGTTTGATCACTCGATTTAAAAGTGGACCACTCGTTCATTGGAGGAATCGAGAGGAGATTTTGACTGTGGTCCTAACTGTAGGAAGGTTTGACCAATCGGGAGATTTGAGACGATCCTAACTGTAGGAAGGTTTGATCGCTCGATTTGTGGACCTCTCGTTCATTGGGGGAATCGAGAGGGGGAGAGTGTTGAGTGCACAGACGCGGTGAGAATTTGAATAGGAGTTTCTTATTCATCCTCTTGCTGTGGTGACCGGATTATCCCTAAGAAGACACTATATGGATTTCTTTTGGGAACTTCCCGTTACATGAATCATCCACCCCCAGCTTCCTTTGCAAAACTGGGTATGGTATTGTACTCAGTTGGGTGTCCGGGTTATCCTTAAGAATATCAAGCATGGTATTCTCCAGGAACTTCCCGTGAAAGAAAGGAAACAATTTAGACTCATATACTCAGGGAGTAGTTTAACCTCTTATACCGGTCGGAGGATTGAGAAACAGTTTATACTCGTATACTCTTTGGAGTTTTGCCGTTCTTATTTGGCTTACCTTAGCGTTATGACGCCGGCTTCAACCAAGGTCTGAATGCTATTCTTGAGAGCAAAGCAATCCTTGGTGGGATGAACGACCCTCCTGTGGTATGCACAGTACTTTGGGTCCGTAGTGTTGTCAGCTTCCTCCTGATTTGTGATAGGTGGTAGCTTGATCTTGTTACCTTCAAGGAGGGATTCGAAGATGGCTGGAACGTCTTCGTCCTTGAAAGAGTACTCTTTTTGGAGTCTCGGACCCGAAGTCTTTTGCTGCCTTCGGGATTGCTGTTGTGACGTTTGATTAGCACCATCAGCAGCTGCAGGTGCCTTGCCCTTACCACGAGAGGCGAAGTTTGAGTTGAGCGGATTAACCGTTGGTCGGTTCCTCTCGGCCTTCTTCCTACAAAGGAAGCGTTCGGCTTGTTCACCGCGCACCTTCAAGTATTTCTAAGTGTCAGACGGTGCTGTTCCCATTGCTTCCAACATGTCCAGTGCAAGGTTGTTGTGGCAAGTCTGGAGAATGAATTCCTCGGTGATCGGGTCCCGGCAATTCATCACCTTGTTCCGGAACCTTTTGACGAAGGTGTCGACTAACTCCCCGTCTTTCTGCTTCTCATCGAGCAATGATCCGATAGATATCTCGGTGTCATCGTCGAAGAAATTGGCGAGGAACATGGTCTCCATATCGTCCCAGCTATTTACGCTTCCTGGCTTGAGGCGGCGATACCAATCGAAGGCGGCTCCGCGAAGAGTGCCGACGAATGACTGCACCATGAGAGGCTCATTGCCAGAGATTACCCCCAGGTGTGATTTGAAATAAATCACATGCTGAGTGGGCGAACCCTTCCCATCAAACGGCGTGAAGTTAATTAGATTGAACTTCGCCGGATATGGGATCGATTCCCATTCTCTTGGGTATGGACAAGGAATGCCTGTTTTCTTCGTCTCTTGAGCGGAAATCAATGTATTGATTTTGCTCTCGAGGTTCTTGATCTTCAAGTTTTCACCTGTGTTTTCGCTAGCATTCTCGTTACCACCCCCTGCATTGACGGGAGGATTATTGGCATTATGCGTCTCATTCGCATTTGTGTCCTCATCTTCCAGATTAACCTGGTTATGACGACTTGGCTCGCCTTGCTGGTTCGTCAATGCTTGGATTTGTTGGTCATGCATCTCTCTCATAGTCTGCATGGCCATCTGCATCTCGAACCTGAAGCTTTTCTGTTGTTTGGCCATGGCATCTTCGAGCATCTTGGCCACTTGTTCCGCGCTTATCATGAATGACTCGCGGGGTTGTCCTTCGCTGGACACTGTATTATCTGATGCGACTGCGGAGCAGGTATCTGACTCTTCACCTTCTGAAGGTATTCTTGTCCGAACCCTACCATAAGTTCCTCGTGCGATTGCTCCAGACTGCAGACGCTCGTGTAATGGCTCCAGACTGCAGACGAGTTAGATACCAGGGTACTTCCGGAATTGACTCGGGATTATTCCTTATCGATGCCCTTTTGCTGGTCATATTGGTAGTGACCCTCGGAAATTCTCCATCTTCAACCATCGTTCTTCTTTGTCGGAAACGCCTATGCCTTGGTTTTGGCGCTTCGATACTAAGCCTTTCGAACACCGAAACTCTCTCGGTGACTGCCTTGATGCAGTTGCACTCAGACAGTACCGCCCGAATGAGTTTGGAACAGAGGCATTGAGTCTCTAATTCTCGAGGACTTCTCTTTCTGGCTCTGCTCGTACCCCCAGCACGATAGTATAACTCGTCGGTTTGAAGGTTAGAGTAACCTATCGTATGTTGGCACGACTTCTCAAGTATAACGTTATCGTCATCAGACGATAATGTTTCCTTCTGAGGGTGAACTGCCTTCTTTGGGCTTTCAAGAGTCACGCGCCTCGAGACATGCCTTTTTGGACGTGAGTTCTCGGCGGGCTCTTGGACTTCGATGCGCAAATTAGTCCGCGCAGCCGCCTTGAGCTCCTTGTCGTGTTGAGGGTTGCGGCGACTCCCAGCGCGTTGAGTAGCTCGGGGCTTTCTTAGTGGGCCCAAACGTCCTTGGATTGGAGCTTTGCTTCGCTCCTCGGGAAATGGACCGAGGTGCTCCAAGACTGACTTTCTTTTCTGGGATGGTCCTGCGGGATCTCCCGGAGCAGTTGTGGAAATCATCGACGGTCTGGATTGATTCGCCGGAGATTGAACTTTCGGAGGCTGTAGTTGTTGCTCCTTCGTCTGAATCGCCGTTTCAGACTTTGGTCTCCAAGCTTTGCGAGCTTGAGCCCGCGCCTGCGCTGATAGTGCGCGGCGCTTGCGAATGCGTTCCTCCAGCGTTGATCGGTTCCGTTTGACCCGGATCCATTCGTTCGTCGGCGCCTTGGAGGAACCGTCATTATTCAGTTGTTGAGGATGTTTGCCTCTCCTATTCTTCAGATCCACGTTGTAGCGGATCCCGTCAACTGACTCTATGGCCTTTGCGAATTGTTTCGCAAGGCGTTGACGTTGCCTTTGGCGGGCTCTTTTCGAGAGAGTCACCACGCCTAGGAATCTCACCCGATGCAACTTTGGCATCAAACGGGGCGAGATCTTCGTTGGTGTTTTCAACGTCTTCATACCAACGAGTTTTCCTCCTGGAGGAGAACTTGGACTTCTTGGACTTGCGTGGGGAGGTTGATCCGGACGAGGACGACAAGTATTCCTCGAACTTCTGTTGGTCGAACTCGTATTCGACCTCCTCCACGACCGGGATCGAGATCCGCGGCTGCGACGCTCCGATCTCGGCAGCAAGATCGGCGGCTCCCACTGTGGTCGCCAGATTGTTCGCGGGAAACTGTTTGCGGTCGCTCGCTTTGTGGGTTTTTTGCCAACGCCGGGGTTAATCCGTGGACCACCGCGCGATCTAGATCCGGTCGGATCTACACGATTTGACGGGTATTATTCCACGAAGGGAATAATAGCCGGGAGGGATTAGTTCACTAAGGAAATAATCGCTCGGATCTCGGGATCTAAGACCAAGCTTAGATCCGGAGTGTGATCTCGTGTAGATCTCAGATCTGTTCTTCCCCTCTCTCGAACTCCTGCCTTTTGTGACGTGGATGCTCGCCGAGGATCAGATCTGGATGTCCAAGTCTTCAAGTCTTCAAAACTCTAAGCTCGATCTTCAATCCGGCAGAGTTTCGGCTCTCAAAAGTCCAACCTTTGAAAATGAACAAAAGGGGGCCTATTTATAGGCTACCCTCACTGTGCCTTGGGCACAGTGCAGCCGGCCACCGAGCCACCTCAGGGTGGCTCGGCTTTGGCCGAGCCACCTTGAGGCGGCTCGGTTTTGGCCGAGCCCCTCTGGGTTTGCTGTTTTCCGTCGTTTTGCGCTGTATCCGTTTCTCGGTTCTGTCCGTGATTCGGTTGTGTGGTTGATTTATCCGGACTTAACTCGTTGACCCGATTTGGTAGTAAATCCGGATCTTGAATAGGCAGTAAATCCAATTCTGAGTTCGAGTCCGAAACTGATCTTGATTCGATCGCGATTTGTCCGAGTCTGCCTTTGGTTGGATGACTCGTTGACTCTTCGAACCATTGGCTTGATTCCGCATGCGAGTGGATTTATTCCGTTGTTTGCGTGCGGTTCATTAGCTTCGTAGCCTCGTTAATCCGCTTCGTCGCGTATCGCTTGGCTTCGGTGTTGTGGACTAACAATTGCGTCTGCATACGTCGCCTAATGGTCGGTTCGTCGAAACGGCGTTGTCGAGCTGTGTTAAGGGACCTATAGGTAGTTTTATACGCCTACAAGTACATTTAAATACCTCAAAGTATTTTAATATTACAAATAAATGCTCTAAAGTTCTAAAATATTGTGCATTTATGTTCTTCTATTTACTCAATGTTGAATGTTGGTGCCCTCTTTTTAACCTAATATTGCAAATAAATTCTATCAGCATGTAAATGGCCTCAGTTAAATACCCAAAAAGTTTCTAAAAATTTCAGCTTAGTAGAGAAAAGTTAACGTCATTTGGGTTTTTAACTATGGGTATTCGTCTATAACACTTAAAATACTTCAAGATTTTTTTGCTCAGTTTTAAAATAGGGATCATTTAGATGCAATATTAGTGAAACTGCATGGCAACTATTAGGGGCTGTTTGGTTGGTTTCTTTTGCCATTGATTCCTGCAAAAACGTCCTTTTTAGAAGCGTTTTGACAAGAAAGCTGTCAAAACTGACAGCAAGCAGAGAATCAGGGGCAAAAGAAACAAAACAAACAGCCCCTTAGGTGCAACTTAGCCAAAGATAAATAGTATAAAATAGGATAGTCAGAATCGGGACCCACACTTCAAGTCTGCCACGTAATCAGATTGGATAGATAGGGGAAGAAAAGGATAAGATATAAGAAGAGAGCGGAAGAAAAAAAAAAAAAATCAGAACTTTTTAATGGCGACAATCACTCTACACTCTCTCCACTCCCCATCCTCTTCCTCCAAACTCCGTCATCGCATTCCGACGCCAAAATCTCGCTCTCATGTCTCAGTCCAATGCTCAGGTAGAACTAACTCAACCCCCTTACTTTCTCCTTCACATTAATTATCTACTACATTCTATTTTGTTCTTGAACTAGACCCACACCTTCCTCCAATTTCGAAACCCTAACCCTTGGGTTTATTTAAAATATTATTTGATTCGGAAGGACTTTGTAAAGTTTACCCAAATTTTGAGGGCATTGTGATGTGGGTTAACAATGTCATCTTAAAAAAAAAGTCTACAATTTTGTTTGGTAATGATTGTGGAGACATGGGATATTAAGGAAAATGTTAGGGGATGTCGAAGGTTTCCTTCCACCTACACCGAAACTCCAAAGTTATAATGGATGTTGAGGGTTATAATTTTCGGCTATTATGATAAGATTTGGGGAAATCTGCATGCATTGTCCACCTTAAATTCTAACATGTCCTTGCAAGTTGAGCGCCCTTTTTTTTATGGGCTGAAACCTGGACTCACGTAGCGGTATTAATTTTTAAGAAAATCCGCTTTAAATTTTTGTGGCGGGTGGGATTTGAGCTTGGGTTGCTTTGATACCATCTTAAATGAAGTCCATCTAACCATTATACAAAAACTCTGAATTAATGGTGAGGATCGAGGATTATAGTTTTATATTAATTCTAACAGAAATTTTATCCACGACATGATGAATGCATACCTATTGTATCATGTATCAATGTATTATGTTAAGGTCTATGATCTGTAATTAGTGCCGAATCCAGAAAATTTTTCTTGGGAGCAGACAAGAAGTGTCTATTTACCTAAAAATAAAAATATAATATCATAAAATTAGTGTTTGATGTGAATATATTTAATATACTTTATTGTTAAATATGCAAATGTGCTTTTACTTTCCAATTGGTTAATTTAATTGTTATTAAATTCTTCATTGTTTTTAGATACATAGAGTGGAAATTTTAAATTTTATGGGGAATGGATATAAAATTTCATGACATTACATGCAATTTGGCTATAAATCCACCCGTCTGTAATGCTTTGTTATATTCTATCTCCGACTAAGAGCTTGAAACAAAATCATACTTACCAATTCAAAAAAACAGTTATAATTTTTTATTATTTTGATATTAGTCCCTTGAACTTTTTATAGTAGTCCTCTAAATCATTGAAATTTGAAATTAGTCCCAAATCTTATAACTGTTCTAAAATTATTCCCCCAAGTTAGCAGTTGTTTGATCTGGAGTGGAATATTAACTTAACTTTAACTAATTTGGCGGACTAGTTTCAACTTAAAGATTTGGGGGACTAATTAAAAAATATGAAGATATTGTGGACTAACTTCAAAGCACTTAAAAGGTTTGAGAGACTAATTTCGGAATATGAAAGATTTGGGGGACTAATTTAGAAGAAAAAACCAAATAATTTTATAGTATGACACACCCCCTTCTGGTTGAGAGCTAGGGTTATAATTCTATACTTTAACAGGAATACCAAACTAAAATAAGGGGAATTTTTTTTCTTTTTTTTTGGAACAAAATAAGGGGAATAGTTTCTTCAGCTTTCCCGTGGTTAATTGGATTAGCCTTAGTCCATAAGGAACAAAGGAGTATCTAAATTAACTGGATCAAGGTTAATCAGCTGCTCATATAAGAGATTTGTTAGTAACATATAGTCCAGCTTTATTCTGTTACGAAATGGATTATTAGCATCAGAAACTTTACCATGCAATTTTTGCTTCCACTGTGTCCAACAAAACCCACTTTAGCTAATAGCCTCATAATAATAACCCTTTCTTTTACACGTAAATCATAAATGTTAATTTTTGCGGCACTAGTCCTGTTGAACTGAAACTAAGAACCAACAGAAGTTTTTTTTGTGCTTAATCTATTGAAGATCTTCAAAATCTGATAATGCGTTTTAAAATACGTGTTAATTTCTTCAGCAAATGGTAACATGCCAAATTCTTCCGAATGTGGCCCTTCATTTAAAGGACTCAGAAACGTTGCGTGTGGCATGCTTGCTGCTTGCCTTGTGACCGCTGCCTCGCCTGTTGTTGCTGCAAATCAGGTTTAGGCATTTTCTTTAAACTTTTTAACACAATTATCATGTTGAGCACCATCTTTTGCCCACCTTTTTGTGCATTATAGCATCTCTATAATGTTATTGGTTTGCAAATTTGCCTTTATTACTCAAGAAGTTTGGAACTTTTTGATTTTGCATAACATGCTTGTATCCTCATTTGTGAAGGCAAGAACATCCATCAAGTATCAGATTATTCGAAAAGTACATAGATTCTGTCCACCAAGATATTTGAACCCTTGTCAACTTATTATGTAAACATTTTAGCCCTTTGGGCATCTTAGAAGAGCAATGTGTCAACATCTTCGACTAAATTTTATACAATGGGTTTTCTTAAGTTTGGTCCATCTCAAGAGAAGTAGACGCTCATTAATGATGCAAATCTGGCTCCTATTTTTGAAATGTATATATCTGGTTGCGAAAATCAAAAGTGGCATGCCATGTTGTAGCTAAACCAACTTGTCTGCTCAAAAAAATCCTTTCCATAGGCAACACTTTAAGAGAAACGTTTAGATAAATATATGACTCAGCCCAGAAATATATGACTCACAGGCATTGAATGCCTAAACACGTTTATATAAAATATAGAAGATATATAGCACTTTGAGCTCATTCTTGTGTGGCGTCCAGAGGAATACTACACATTTAATCTCTTTTATGAAATCAATAATATTTAAAGGTTTTTGCTAGAGTCATTAACCAGAATTTCTCCAAGAAAGTTAGAAGGTTGTTTTTGGGTAAATTTTACGAAACCCCACAAGAAGTATGGCCCCTTTTGAGATAACCCCCGAAAATATTTGGAAATGTCGCTTAACCTCATAAATTTCCTCATAAGTTTTGCATTATTCTGAATGTACTTTCAGGTAGCCCTCAACTTTTTGGAGGTTATATGAAAAGGTTTTGGAGGTTAAGTGACATTTCCAAACTTTTCGTGTTACCTCAAAATGGGCCAAACATCTTTGAGGATTTTGTGAGATTTACCCTTTTTTCCAAACAGGCCACAAGTTTCGTGTGAAAAAAGTTGATATTTACAGACACAGTTACTGCTTATATAAAACTTTTTAACTTTACGTTCATTTTCGTTCTCTTTCTTGTAGAGATTGCCTCCGCTATCAACGGACCCAGACCGTTGTGAGCGTGCATTTGTAGGGAACACCATTGGTCAAGCAAATGGTGTATATGACAAGGCAATTGACCTCCGCTTTTGTGATTATACAAATGATAAATCGAACCTAAAGGGAAAATCACTTGCTGCGGCTCTAATGTCAGAGGCAAAGTTTGATGGTGCTGATATGTCAGAGGTTGTAATGTCCAAAGCTTATGCTGTTGGTGCCAGTTTTAAGGGTAAGCACCACTTCAACTAATTGTTGTTGATGATTGTAGTCATGGCCACATGTCATATATACTGATTGATTACATGTAAGCCACTCTTCGTGATGCATCTTACAGTGAGTCGAGCTAAAGTTTGTGGATATTAAGTCATTCTTCCTGATGTATTTGCACAACTTTTTGGTCTTTCTTTGAGTGTGCAAGCACATGAAGTACATTTTTTGGGTTAGTTGTGGATAGACCCTCTACAGTTCGCTGTTTTGAATGTACTACCCGTATACTTATTTATTAAATATACTGGAAGGTTTTTTGACACACGCCAGATATTTTTGGTGCTTTGTGACATTTTCAAAAGTTAAAAGGCTATTTCAAAATGGGGCATACTTGTGGGGGTTTTGTGAAGTTTACCTGAAATATTTAGCTTGGTCCTTTCAAACTTAAGTTTTCGAATAAAATGAAAGGTGTTAAGCTTCTTCATACTTTCTCATGTCAAATATAAAGTGAATTCAGTTATGGAGAGTGTAAACTTGCATATGCGTGAAATTAAATCTCTTGTTTAGAGATATACGTGTCCGGATCTTATGTAGGGATTGCCATGCACCTTGATCTTCAACCAACGGTTAGGAAGCAATCACATCTAGATGGCGAAAAACTCCCACGAATCACCCTGCGACTAACTCCAAAAATACAGAATTGAGAGAAGAAGGGAGAGATGACAATATTTCTTTTTTCCTATAACTATTATTTTCACATTACGTTATTATTTAAAGGGAGAAAGGGATCTAAATATAATCCAATTAGAATTAGTCAAATATTTTCTCTCTAAGAGAACATTTAAGTCCCTCTTAATTGGGTGTATCCTTATCCATCTATGACTAATAGACAGTATGACTAAAGAGCTAAGACAATTCCACAAAAATAACCAACCAAATTTATATGACTGGCTATCAATGCTCAAGCATTTACTTACGGTTTATACTACAGGCAGTATACCAAAGAATTTTCAGTTAGACAACTAAAAGATGTTCTTTATTATTGCAGGGGTGGATTTCACAAATGCAGTCTTAGACAGAGTGAACTTTGGGAAGGCCGATCTCAAAGGAGCAATCTTTAGGAACACAGTTTTATCAGGTTCTACTTTTGACGAAGCTCAACTTCAAGATGCGGTCTTTGAAGACACCATAATAGGCTATATTGATCTCCAAAAGCTTTGCGTAAATACTAGCATCAATGAAGAAGGAAGAGCAGAGTTGGGGTGTAGATAACCATGTTGCTGGTTTTGTCAAGAGTTACTTGCTACATATAAGATTTTGTGTTTACATGTCCTGATAATGAATTTTTGTACTAGTTTGTAATATATCATTCTTCAAGCAGTGTTGATATCAGCGAGATGCTTATGAAATATATGTGAATCTTGTTGGTAGCATTTGACCAGAATGAAAGATACGTGATTCTTGTTTAGCTTTTTCATTTGTCTAGGAATTTATAAAGTTTACCAATGGTTTTATGTTCAATTTTGAATGTGGAAGGCTTGCAATTTCCAACTGGTAACATAACTCTAGCCTGCATTTCGCAAAGGGTTATTGGAGGGGTTAAAGGGGTTTGACCGTTCACTAAACTGCCAAACAATGAGTTTTGATCAAAGAGTTTGTTACCCCCGATCAACGGACTAAGCGCAATTAACCAGTCAAAATGATTTTATAAGATGTTAATTCCTTGTTTATGTTAAATCTGTAGCAACAATAAAGCAACCAAATATGTTTATCTTTTTGAAATTTTTTGTGCAAATATGTCATTTTTCACAGTCCAATGTTTTTATTTCTATTTATTCTAAGTTATATTTCAGTTAACAACAAAGCGCATCTGGTGTAGTGGTATCATAGTACCCTCCCACGGTACTGACCAGGGTTCGATTCCCTGGATGCGCATATTAGTCATTTTACTATTTTTAAAAAATTCTTTTCCTTCTGAATTTCCGGACATAAAATATATATTTTTTCCTACCTTTTCAGTGTTCTTGCCATATTTTAAGTATTGATGGAGTAGTTTACCTTATAATAAAATATTTTTTTCCTACCTTTTTAGTGTTCTTGCCATATTTTAAGTATTGATGGAGTAGTTTACCATATCATAAATTTGTTTCATGACGTTATTTGCCTTGTTATTGATAAATTTTTGGATGCTCATTCCAGCAAACATTCATAAAGAAACGAGTGAGTAACTCCTCCTGTGAACGGAAGTAATCTGAACAGACTTAAATCATCGACCAAAAAAAATACCAAACTATAGTTGCACAAAATTAGGACTTGTTTCATATATATCATCAGGTTTTTGTACATCTGATGCTATGGAGTTGGTGTGAATCTAAAAAAAAAAAATCCTTCAATATGATCTGAAATGGTTACTCTTGCTTTCTTCCTCGAGGACTTCATAAAATTAGAAGCAAGAGACCTGTGCACACTTTTCTCATCACTCCACCGGACGCATAGCGTGTTTCAAGCCCTGCGCATACTTTCCAGTCGCCCTGCTGGATAACTGGATACGCGGTGTTTCAAAGAATGCCAATCTTCAGATCAGCTCAGAACAGGGGGAGTTTTGAGATGGATGTTCTGCTGGATACTGGATACGCAGTGTTTCAAAGAATGTCAATCTTTGGATTAGTCCAGGAGGGGATTTTTGAGATAGATGTGCTAGTCCCGCGATGCTTCGCATGTACTGGATCTGATCCTTTGGATAGTTTATCCTAGCTATTACCTTCAAATGGCTCCTTAGTACTGGTGCCACTTCGGGCTAGCAGTTGCCAAAATATCGCTCCAACTCCAACGATCATCGTCTCCGCAGAACTTCACCCCCAGGCAAGGCTTGATTCCCTTGAACAACAATATAGATTATGTTTAGACCATGAAGCACTACAGACCTTTAGGCTGATTTCTTCAGTGCCATACACTTGTAATCGCAAGAAGCGTAAACTTTCAACCAAAATCCCTCATGTTCCTCAATCTCTTCACTAGCTTGTAGCATGATGAACAGGAAACATGAATTTGCTCTCTAATTCCTCCAAACATCAATCAAGGCTTTTCTGCAGTTCTGAGCCTGAAGTGAGTGGCTTTCTACCCATCTGCTCTCATCTACAATTGCAACATTCTATCAGAAACAATTCAGTTCCAGCAACTCTAAGCAGATAGTAATTAGGCCCAACACTGAGTCGAAAACACATACCATAAGAACAATATCACTATTTGAAAAATGATTCTTTCAACATTTGATTTAACAATGTAATGTAATTTGTTTCAGTACACTTTTTCCACCAAGCAAATGACTTCAAAATGCAACCTGCATGCCTTTTGCACGGCAATCACAAAAAGAGCTAGCACAGCCCTCAGAAGGAAACGAAGCCAAAGAAGCAGCACAACCCTTCTTGAGCTCATTAAACCTATTAAGATCAAAACTGTAGGCCTTCATGAGCTTTTTCTGCTTCGCATCAAACCGACTCTGAAAGAAACTCTCAAACGAAGGTTCTCTTGATGTCCTGAGGAAAAATCCATACCCAGCCAAGAAGTACATGGAGGTTAAGTAAAAGCAAATGGGCTCCATTACATCCCATGAGAGCTCCCAAAATGTAAGCCTCATCAATCCAATTGTTTGTATTAACATAAATCCGAGACCACACCATAGCTCCCTTTTAACGCCAGTCTCTGCGAGTTTATCTATTGCTGCTTTCTGCTCTTCAAGCTCTCGAAGCTCCTCCTTTTGGCACTGATTCTTCTGCTGGGGAATTGATAGAGGATTATGCTGGGGGATTGATAGAGGGATTACGCTCTCAACGGCTTTAGCTACCTGTGACATCAGAAGGAAAAGAAAAAAAAGGCTTTGGCTACTTGGTCTTCGAGAAGATAAAAGAACACATATTTTTGAGTTTCATATATGCATGTACAACGATAATATATATTATGCGGGATAAACGAAAAGCAAGATGCAATTTTACTTTCTAAAACAAATATAGACAATAAGCAACTCAAGATTTTGAGGTAAAGATGTCAACTGATTGAGGGTTGAGAAAGCTATCCAGCTAACAAATATAAATAACATGACCAATGTTAAAACTTCTGGATTGCACCAAAATGAGGAAGGCCATATTGATGAAAGATATTATCATCAACATTAAGTAACTACATTAATATAAAAATGAAAGATATTATCATCAACATTAAGTAACTACATTAATGTAAAAAGAATTGCATGCAAATAGATGAACTTGTGTTGATACGTCAGAAGTAATGAGAACATATTCATGGCAATTTTGGGTAATAACTTAATAAATATATGAAGTAAATATATGAAGTATAATATATCATGACTTGATCAAAATAGGAAGAGATTATTTAAGGAAGCATTTGAAATTTTTATGAGAAGAGCACAACACTCAAAGATTTAAAAGCATCAATTTTGCTAGAACAAAGATATAACATGAATTCATTCTCCTTGCCGGTCGATATATAGTATGACATGAACATAAATGTGTTAAGAGTGTGAAAAAAGCAAACTTGCGATATGTGGACAAAAAAGAATAATATAAAGTCTTCTGTATAACATATCCCCAATTATTCTACAATATAAAAAATCTAAAACAACTGTGAATAGAATAATAAACCCCGATATTTTGCTAGTAAATTTCTGTCCAGCAAACATTATATGTATGTTTTGTCAAATCAATAAAGAGTTCATATAGCAACAAATGTTCATGGATATGTAAATTACAGTTCACAATAGAATCTTAACTCGTCCAGTAGAAATTTCTACAAATCAAGTAGATCGAGTATAAATTTCCATAATCAATTAGGTCCATAAATCCACGGTCAGCTGAGAAAACATTAAAGTACACCCTAAAATCACCACTAGCCTATTAGTATATAGACAACCCATTGTAAAAGTTTCCTAATTGATAAATTTCAATCAAGTTCTGCTCTGTGCATTTAAGTCTATTGGGCACACTCCACAACTCTTAATTTGCCAAAAGTGAACTTACCCTAAGTCAACTTACGTCAGATATTATATTATATTGAACATTTCCTCTAAGAGCAAAAGACACGACCAGGAAATAAAGAGCTCAGAATAATTCAATAATTTCATAAGTTAATGTCCTCAGTTTAAAAACTAGTGCATATGCACTGATTAAGAAAATAATAACAATAATCAAACATAGATATGTCACTAAAAACTTAGTGTAGAGTACAAGCCAACAATTTGTGCAATTCACAAATACTCGTGAATACTTTTGACTACCATGCAATTTGTAGAAAAGCAAGGCATAATTATCGAATTAGAAGGAAATGTGTGTCTCTGTGCGTGCGTGAGTGCGTGTGCGTGCTTGTGTGTGTGTGAGTTAAGACTCCAATGAATAACATGACTTGTTAAACTCCAATGAATGTCATTAAATTGGGAAATTCTTCTCAAGTCGTATGGGTTAAATGATTCTAATCAAGAAGTCCAGGAGAAAAGAGGATTAATCATGCTGATTCGATAGGACAAGGAAACAATGTGGTGCGCTCATCCGGATTGGGAATCTATACTATTCTCTGGTTGAATCCTATGAAGAATAGTATAAATCGGTCTTCCACCCTGCTCAATTCTTATATTCTTCTATGCCTTGGGATCCTCTTTCCATTTTCCACGATATATATTTTTTATCTTTGTCGTCATCACCTTAATACTCTATGGAAAATATCATATGAAAAAGAATCTCATCCTCGGGTTGGAACCCAGGAATATATTCTACAACTTATCCTATTAATAATCCACTCCACTAGGAAAAACTAGTAGCCTCAAACTATTTACAAGTTGAACGAATGGAAAACTTGGAAAAATGGTTCAGCGTACCCAACAAAATATGAGCTGAAAACGCAGAAATTTACTCGAGTCAGGTAATCGAAAGAAAAGAAACTAAAACGTGCTCACATTATAATGATATCCTATACCATTATAAATTTATTAATCTCTATGGCAAGTAATGTCACAAATTGAAGTTTCATGTGGCAACATCAATTCCTTGGGAAAAGTGGAAAGTAATTAGGTGATTTTCTTTTTTTAGAATTCTGGTTTATTCTTTTTCACTATTAAATACTGAAAAAGACATTGTTTGCGTCTCATGAAGAAGGTTCAGGTCTCCATCCAAGGTTTTACCATTTCAAACACGTAACCCTTCGTTTCTTCCCTGTAGAGAATAAGATAGAAAGAAACACACGACGAAAATACGATCAGACCCCAGCAAATTTGATTCAAAACATAATTTCACACTATAATTTGAAGGAATTTTGCATAAAAATTCAATTTTTTGCCCCTCTATTCTGCGGCCTCGGGCCCTCCTTCCAATGCCTACCCTCATTTCCCATCACGCTCACTACCGACAAACTTACAAACTACGACTACCTTTGCAAATGGAACAAAAATTGAATTTTTCCTGCAAAATCCCCCAAATTTTCATTAAAAAAAGAAGAAAAAAACACAAATCCACAAAAAAAAATTACCTCATCGGGCCGAAGAAACACGACATTGCCCAAAACAATCACAGCCCCCGACTCATCGAGAGCTTTCGCGATCCCCAACCCCTGATCCAAACTCGATATCTCACTGCAAACCTTCAAAAACTCCGAATACGAGATCCTTTCTTTCTCCATCGATCTCAACCTCGACCTCGCCATCTCCATCTTCGCCGCCTTCATCACCTTTCTCACCTCCTCCGCCGACATCCTGGTCTCTCCTTCCTCCTTCTTTGGCGGGATCAAGCAATCGAGCCGGATCCGAGACCCATTAAGGATCCGAACCCGATCAATTAGACCATCGGCGACGGCAATGGGGAAGCGATCGGGGGGGATCGGATCCTTGTGGAGGAAGCGGCGGGTGAGGCCTCTGTCGGATTCGGGTACGATCTTTCGGGTAGCGGATGGTCGGAGGTGAGCGGAGCAGGATTTGGCTACGTGAAGGAATCGATGAGCTAGGGTTTTTTGGAACGCCATTTTTTTGGAGATCGAATTTTTTTTTTCCTCCCTTCCTTTTTAGATCGCGAGGAAGAAGACAAAAGGAGATGGTATTTATAGGAGGAGAGAATGATGGGAGATGAGATGATCGAACGAGATAATGACGAGATATTACGTAATGGTTTGATGAGTCAGCGAATTAATTCGGAGCATATCCTCACGCGGGGTAAGCTTACCTCTCGAGTTGTTTATTAGATTAATTAATTAATAGCTTAAATTTGGAATATCCTTATGTTACTCGGAGATATACTGAGTGGTATTTTATATTCTGTTTTTCTATAGAGTGCCCTTGGGCACTTTATAAGAGAGGAGAGAGATAGAGAGAAATGAATGAGGAGGGGGGCCCCCTGATTTGCATTGAGATCCTCTCTTCATTCATTTCTCTCTATCTCTCTCCTCTCTTATAGAGTGCCCAAGGGCACTCTATAGAAAAACCGTTTTATATTATATCAGTGTCATTACCCGCGCCAAGCTGAGTTGAATTTTTTAGAATTAATTATAAAAATTTTCACTTTATGTTTTCTTTGCTCAATCTTTATGACATGAACATTTAATAATTAGCTTGAGCTCTGATCATGAGAATCAAACTAAAAATAGGTATATTTCACAAACTACCGGTGCATCTTGAGCAATTGAAAAATCTAAATTTACATAAAGCCTTAAATATGATTAAGAAAAATTAAACTTACAATTGTTAATATACGAAACATTATTATCTTTCCTAAGGATATCAACAAACCTTCAATTACCTCAAGTACTCTATTATGCACGATGTACATTGCGCTTAAGCTTTGTATACTTGCACCTTCACCCACTGTATTTATATACCAATAACAAAAAATGGATACATTTATATACCAATAACAACAACAACCAAACCTTTATCCTAAATGTTTGGAGTCGGCTACATGAATCCTATTTTTTCATTCCATACTGTTGTGGGTCATTTTCTCCGTTACGTTAGTCTTAATCATATCATTCTTAATTGTTTCTGACCAAGTCATTCTAGGTCAACCTCTAGATCTCCTAGCCTCATTAACTCTTATATTATCATTTTTTCTAATCGGTGCACTAAGGGGTCTCTTTTGTACATGATCAAACTATCTTAATTTATTCTCTCTCATTTTATCCTCAATAGGAGCAACCTCTAATTTACTACGGATGCATTCATTTCTTATCTTATCTTTTAATGTATACCCACAAGACTATCGTAATATTCTTATTTTTGCTACACTCATTTTTTGAACATGTTATTTTTTAATTGCTAAACATTCTGACCCATAAAAGCATAGTTGGTCTTATAACGGTCCTATAGAATTTTTCTTTAGTTTCATTGGTATTATACAATCACATAAGACTTCCGAAGAACTCCATTTCAATCATCCTGATTTAATTCGTTGCACAACATCATCCTCTATCTCATCATCATGCCTAATGATAGATCCTAGATAACGAAAATTATTAGTTTTAGCTATTTTTGGCCATCAATATGCACCATAGGCTCTCTTTCTTTCCTACTTTTATTAAAAATGCGTTCCATATATTCTTTTTTTGTTCTACTAATTCTAAAACCTTTAGACTCAAGAGCTTATCTCCATCTTTTTACTTTAGCAATATTGCCTCTTCTAGTTTCATCAACTAATACTATATCATCAGCAAATAACATACACCATGGAATTTCATCCTGAATGTGCTTAGTAAGTTGATCCATAACTAATGCAAAAAGATGAGGACTTAAAGCTGACCCTTAGTGTAAACGTATGGTAATAGAAAATGGTTTAGTATCTCCTTCATTAGTTCTTACTCCAGTTGTTACTCTATCATACATATCGTTAATCACATCAATATATATACTTAATATATGTTTTTTTTTCTAACATCCACCACATTACCTCTCTAGGTACTCTATCATAAGCTTTTTATAGATCGAAAGATCCATATGTAGATCCTTTCTCTTCTCTCTATATCTCTCCTTCAACCATATCAAAATATGTATATGTTCCATAGTTGACCTTCCATGTATAAAACCAAATTGATTTTCAGATATTCATGTCTATTTTCTTAGTATTTGCTCTATTACCCTCTCCCAAAGTTTCATAGTATGACTCATGAGTTTTATACCTCGATAATTTGAATAACTTTGTATATCCCAATAACAACAAAAAATATAAAATAGATATATTTATATACCAATAGCAAAAAAGAAAACACAAATAAAATGGATACATTATTTTCATAAAATGGAGTGTAGCATTAAATTTTGCAAGATGCATGGATGCATAAGAAAAGCCTAATCGAGCCCGCCTTGTCAACAATCAAATGCATCATTATAGAGTTTGAACTAATGATAGAGAAGGGGATCTAAGAATGTTTTTAACTAGATTAGCTTGTAAGATTTATAGAGAGGATATGAATTGAGAAAGAATGGGAAGTTGATCTGGCCCTTAGTGGAAATTGAGTTGATGAGACAGTGACAATTGCTACAATTAATAGTAATTAAGAGAGGTTACATTTCAATGCTTCCTGAAAATATAAAGATTTGAATTTGATGTGACATTATGACCATCTTTAATTTTACAAACAACAATTTTTAGGGTAATTTGCATATAACAGATAAGATTTGCAAGGCTTTAATTGATGGATGATAGTATATGAAAGCTTTAGAATTTGTATGAATATTTAAAAGTTTTAGAATCTGTATAGATTACATAGAAGATGAATGGCCAATTCTCTGAAAAATGGACATGCGGCCAATTCTCTAAAAAAATTGACATGTGTCATCTTAGGGTATTGTTTTAGTATATTAGATAGATTATATTTTAAATTAAAAAATAAATATGAATATGAATGATAATTGTGCTGATTTGAGAGATGAAATGATAAAGATCCTTTTAATTGAATTTGGCTAATAAGAGAGTTCTTATCACTTGCCCAATTTTTTGATATCAAGTTTATTAAGATGATTTTCATGTATCGGATCCACACAATAGAGAGGATTTAAGATTATAACACATAGCTTTCATTATAACTTTAAAGATTATAACACACAACTTTCATTATAACTTTAAAGTTTTTGTATAGCGTTAAAGACATTAAGATAGTGCTAGAGAAATTAAGGTTCGGATTTTATCAGCCGTTGTGAGTCCAAGTTTCGTCTTATGAAAGCGTCTTTAATCTGCATAGACGTGTTAACAATAATTCTTTTAATTAATGGTCAAATAAATTTATTCGATCGTATTCAGCTGAGCATATTCTTGCGCTTAAGCTTACCACTCTGGCTGGAGATTAGATCAATTTATCATCACTAGGCTGGAGATTAGACTAATCATCAACATTAATAAAATGGTGCATGCACTTCACATTTTTATGAAGAAATTGTGAAATATATACGTGTGAATGTGTGATACTTTGGGGATGTTAGTCTACAACGTCTGTGCGTTTCGTGCAGAACATATTATAGAATTTATGCTCTATTTCAATAAAAATAATAGTGAATATGAAGGATAAACGTGCTTATAGGATATATGAAATGATCAAAGTCTCTTATATGTATGCGAACAGTTCTGATAGGATGAGCACTTCGACTAGTGCATAGTTTTTTTTTACTGCTTAAGACACCACTAATTATATGAGAACATTGCTGGAACAAAAATCCTTCTCATCACTGATAGAAAGTAATGGTTTTGATTGAATGAAAAACAGAGAAGAAGAAAGAGGATTTCTGAGGGGCTCCGGTAATGGGTAAGTGGGTTTTCTTATTGATTTTCATTGTGTTTTCTCAAGGAGAATGATCCTCCTTATATAGGGGCTAAACCCATCATCTATACCCCTCAGATCCGCCCCCATGAGAGATTTTCTCTCAACCACCCATGATTCACGTTCTCCACCATTCTCTCAACAGAGAAACATTGGTTGATTTGGTCATCAATGACCAGGTCAAGCTAACATCTCCCACTTGACCAAATTAACCAAGTGACATGCCTCCCACTATCCGTGAGATCGGATGTTTCTGCTTACCATTACTCCCACTATCCGTAGAGAGTAACTCTTATTTCATTATTCATGAAATTTTACTTGGACTTATTTATTCCTAAGTCCCATCAAACTTACATGTTTGATAAAAGATTCTGTTGGTATTCCTTTTGTCAAAGGATCAGCAATCATATCTGTAGTAGGGATATAAGTCACTTTGACTTCTCCCTTTTCTACAATATCTCGAATATAGTGATACTGGATCTCAATATGTTTTCCTTTGGAGCTATTCGCGCCACTATTGATTAAGCTAATTGCTGCTTGATTATCACAATAAATATCAATAGGTCCTTCTAACAAATTGAGATCAAGATCAATCAAAAACCGTCTTATCCAGACAGCATGTGTAGTTGCCATACTACAAGCTATATATTCAGCTTCTTGCGTATATCTAGCAACACACCCTTATTTCTTGCTACTCCAAGAAACAGCTCCTCCTCCAAAGATAAATAAGTGTCCCGAAGTGGACTTTCCATCATCTTTATCACCTCCGAAATCAGCATCGGAATAACCGAGGAGTTCAAGCGAATCAGCTTGATAAACTAATCTATGAGTCAATGTACCTCTGATATACTTCATAATCCTTTTAACAGCTTCCCAATGTGCTGGTCCTGGATTACTTTGATATCTACTGACTAGACTCACAGCATAAGCTATATCAGGTCTGGTGCACAACATTGCATACATCAAGCTTCCAATTGCTTGAGCATAAGGAACATCTAATGGCTTCTGCCCCTCTCCAGGGCTTTGCTCTTTACATAATCTCTTTCCCATAACTAACGGAGTTGGTGCCGGATTGGAATTCTCCATTCCAAACCTTTTAAGAATTGATCTTAAATATTTTTCTTGGTTTAAACTTAGCATTCTGGACTTTCTATCTCGAATTATTTGAATTCCAAGAATATATGATGCATCTCCCATGTCTTTCATCTCAAATTTTTCGCTGAGATCTGCCTTGGTTTTATTCAACATTTCTATGTCATTTCCAGTGAGTAATATA